ACATGTGTGCATGCTCAGTCATGTCTGACTCTTTACAACCCATGGACTGTAGCCTGCCAGGCTCCTCTGTCCATGGGATTCTCCAGGCAAGACTAGAGTGGGTTGCTATGCCCTCTGGGTGACTGATCCTAAATACATGAAGTAATTACATTTATACACACACACACACACACACACACAGAAATGCAGCAAAGGAGTTACTTTCCCAAATGAAATAAGTTTCTCCCTGCCGCTCAGAAATTGCAATGAGGCTTAATACATGTAGGCTTTTCCTCACCTGATTAATAGATACAAAAGACAGGTATTTATGGGCAGCAGGTAGAGCAGGAGAATAAGTAGAAGCGTATACAGGTTCCTATAGAGCAAAGCAAGAGGATTAGAGGTGGAAAAAGACGATTTATCAGAGCGGGGCGGAGGAGGGGAAGGACAAAAACAAGGCTTTCTCTCACAGAAAGTTAATTTACTCATTGCAATTTCAATTCTCTTCCCAAGAGAGTCCTTCCTACTTGTTTTATTTCAGAATGCTAACAGAAATTCCCACACAAGCACAGTAAATATAACCAAATCAATTCTGTGCAGTACCTGAGTTATTGGCATGATGACTGCAATTTACAGAAGATATTCAGATAGGGGATCCCTGACTTTCATGGACCATTTTAACATTGAATATAAACTATCTTCTTTAAAGCCTTTCACGTTTTCTCCATGATTGAAACAAAATTTCACGATTTTTTGATGATGGCCGTTCTGACCGGCGTGAGATAGCTAATGGGAAGCTGCTGTGTAACACACGGGGCTCAACCCAGTGCTCTGTGATGACCTAGAGGGTCACAGGGGGCTCTGTGACGACCGAGAGGGGTGGGATGGCGAGGTGGGGCAGGAGGGAGGCTCAAGAGGGGGGGGACGTATGTATACTCATGGCTGATTCCTGTCGTCGTATGGCAGAAACCAACCCAATATTGTAAAGCAATTATCCTCCAATTAAAAATGAAATTAAAAAAAGGGCGGGACACAGGATAGCTTTCCATGCTGGACAGAGGTGACATGTCCCCTCGGGTTAAGAAAACCAAGCAGAGAGGGGTACCCAGGGGAACCGTCTAGAATGAGAGCTACACGTGGCGAGGAGACCTGTGTTAGAGTCAGGCTTACCCAAAGCAGATTAGAAATGTCATTATCATCTGTAAATCCTCCTTCTTCCTACAGGTTAAAACAAATAGGAGACGTTGCAGAGTGTCGGAAGAGTAGGGTCAAGGTTACGGGGTCACAAGCATTTTCCAGAACTCTGTGCTGGGTTCCAGGAGAAGCATGCACATGCCCACACAGTCAGGTGGCACAAACACCAAGTGAGCTCATCCCCCATCTGAGGGGTGATTATCTGTAATTTGGGGGTCAGACCAACAGCCCTCCTCACCCTCCTACCCTTTGTCCTTCAACTGACCACATGCTCTTGAATCGTCATTTGGAATTTCAACAGCACAGGCAATTAGAACACAAATGTGGCAGACTGACCTACCTAGAATTTTCAAGGACTTGTTCTGAGGACAGCACAGAGCTTAGCCTGATTCACTGACTTGACACTTGGATGGAAGCACAGCCAGATATCAAATCCTAACCTGTGGCTCAGACACAGGTCGGGGGTAGTAACCACAAATGCTATAAAAGGTTCTGACTTCCTGGAAAAAGCCTACAACTTTGGATGGTTATCTTGATCAAAGGGCATGGGAGTCACTGTCTCTGCCTAAATATCAAAAACAGGCCAAAATGGGGTTGGAATTTTAAATAATGATTTGGGGAAAATACATAACTGCAATTTAGGTGAAACAAAGACACTTCTGCCAAATCCCTTTTCTTTCAAACCTTGCCTTGTTTCACTTCTCTCCCTCTCGGGATGGGAGGAGTGGCTCTGAAGGGATCATGCTCCTGGTGCTGTCAGCCTGGCCAAACCTATAAACCATGGTCTTTGCCATCTTCAGAACTAATTCTGTACGCTACAAAAGCAAAGATGTATAAGTCAGGTTAGCATTGCCCTAGACTAAACCAAGCACAAGAGGAAGGACAGAGGGACAGCAAGAGAAAGAACCCAAGCTATTTGTTGTAGGAAATGACAGGGGCAGCAGGGTAAATAGCACTCTTAAGTTCCAAACCATCCATCCTAATTTTAGGGGGTTAAGTTTGGAAAGTAAGGAAGTGATGTTAAGTTACATGGTCTCTTGAGACATGATTGATCTTTTTGTAGGGAAAGTAAAACACTAACTTATTCCCCAAATTGACTTATGGACCAAAAGAATACATTTTTTTAAACCTACAGGACCCCAAATGAGATGCTAGTTAGAGCACCAAAATTTTGTTTTGGAACAAACCATTCGACAGAAAGAAAAACAATTTAAGATTTTCAAGGCATCCTTCACATCTTTTTTTAATGTGGTTACACAACAATCTCTAATTACTCATGGGCTCACATTATATTTTTATTGGATGGCACGGATGTTCACAAGGGAAGCGATTTATATAAAGGCCCATCTCCATTTCCTGCCTCCTTTGCTTTTCCACAGGTTGTAACTCATGGGACCCTGCTTAGCATACACAGTAAAAGCTCGAGGAGGCCAAACCGTAAAATGTTTGGTAACCATGAATATGTGCCTTCAATGAATTCAGAAATGGTGCAGGAAGCGATGACCTGACAGTAAATCCAGTCCCTTTTCCCTTGGTGGAAAAGATGGAAGGTTCCAGAGCTTGTGCCCCTAGCAAGTCTGGGGCCAGGCAGCAAGATCCTAACTGCATGGAGCATGTGTCATGAATGTCCTTCCTTCTGCAGAGAAGCATTCAGATACCCAGCAAACCTTGGCCATGTCTCAAGCTCCCCTGCCCACCTTCCAGCTGCCCCAGGGACTGTCTTAAGGCAGATCAGTTTCAAGGCAACTCTTCTACCACATCTGAGCATGGCTAAGGTGTGGCTGAAATACACAGCCAGCCCTTGGGAAGACATGAAACCGAGGGCACTTCAGAGGCCATGGGAAAACCACATGACCTCAAGAGAATCTACGATTTCCCGATGCCTGCTACAGAAGCCCAAAATAGATGGGCTTATTTTAACTTCAAAGATCTTATTGTCTTGGGCCAAAATGAACTAGGTTAGGAGTAGGAGAGCAACGATGAGTTCACTGCTGGTGCAGAACCCCTGAGCCCAGGACAGCACTTCCCACTCAAGCCATGGCTGCTGTGGGCAGGGTTTACCACCCCAGGGGCAACTGCAGCTACCTTCTCCCATCTCTTGCCTCCTGAGAATCTCAGTCTATGTTAAGGCTGTTCTGATCTCATCTACTATTCTGAGCCTTCTGGTCTACCCAGCTTCTGCTGATCCCTGTCCCCTAAGTGCAAAGTGTTGAGATTGATTCTACTATTTGTAAGAAATCTACCTGGCTTTGTACTTTGTAGCCATCCTTTTTACCATGCCATGGGGGACCTGCTTGGGGAAATTTCTTTGCATCTTTCAACATGACCAAGAGTTAAGTACTAAAGTTACCTGGGAACCAATACTTTCAAATCAAACTTTTACGTAAAGTTTGTGGGCAATGGCAGTCAGTCATTGGAGGGACCCAGTTTTCTTTCACTTTTGGATCTCATTCTGGAAATACAGATTTCCGATATAGGCTCTTTAATATCTAGTCATATTTGAGAGATTTGCAAATGGCTGACTGTCTTTAGTGATTATCTTTAAAGTCATGTTTGACTCAAAAGAGAGAATTCAAATTGCTCTTTCAATTTAACCTAGGAAAACACAGAAGAGCCATAGGAAATAGTGTCAGAACTCTGTCCTCATGGCCCCATGGACACACCTCCTTCTTATGTACGCTTCTGAGTGCCTCAAGGTCATGTTCATCACTTCTCTCTTCCATGGAGGCTAATTACATTGTTTTAGAGCTGGAAGGGGTCTAGGTGATCATCTGGTTGGAAGTATTTTTCCTTTTTGTTTGAAGACCTGTGATCCTAGCAGTTGGCCAGTGGTGTGGCCCAGCGCTCATACTGCCCCCAGTCAGCAGGTACATTTGCCATCACAGGGCCAGGCAGCAGGAAATCACTGTTCACTTTGAAAGTGTGCACTGATTGGTCAAAAGCTGGTCATTATGACTAGTCATTTAACAACTCATTGGTACATTTGCATATGAAATGCTTGCCCAGATTGACAACAGTGTGCTACTGAATTTTCTTGAAGCTTATAACATACTTTGCTATACTCTCAATAAAAGGCTTACCTGATCATCATGGAACATGACTTCTGTGGCATGTCCTCACCGACCAGAATTGTGTCCTCTTGTATATATATATGTTTTAAATCTAGGCCTAGGACATTCAAACCCATATTCTATATGCAACTAATAAACGGTTAGCAGTCAATGAGGTTTTCATTCTAAAGGCTTTAATAAGGTGACTTCCTGGCAGTCCAGTGTTTAGGGTTCCATGCTTCCACTGCAGGGGACACAGGTTCAATCCCTGGTTGTCAGAGAATTAATATCCTGCATACTGTGCAGTGTGATCAAAATATATACATATACACACACACCTATATCTACAGCTACATATATAGATGTCAGTTCGGTTCAGTTCAGTTGCTCAGTTGTGTTGGACTCTGCAACCCCATGGACTGCAGTATGTCTCTACAGATATAGGTATATAGATATAAAAGGGTTTAATAACACTGTAAAATCAGATTTCATTTTAGAAGATTTGAAACAGATAAAAGTGCACACTTTCAAATATAGGAACCTGTCTGCTGATGCATTAGGTATGTGGCACTGTTCCCAATTCTAGGATGTCTCAAGACTTCAGCTGGTGATTAATTGAAGCTGCTGTGGGCACACTATAGGTGTGGACCCTAGTAGCAAGAGAGAGCTGATGCTTCCCAGGGCAGTAACTGGTTAAGCTATGCATGCTTGCCTGGTGGATGCACATCCAAGCGTGATATTAGTTAGAATGCTTTTTCCGAGCACAGACAACGTTACCTTCTTCTTGAGTGACTGCTCCGTTTCTTGGATGTGCAGGCTGCTGGTGATGGAGGCTTTGCCATATTCCTGCTTTCTGTTGAGTCTGTTTCTCCAGTCTTCCTCACCACTCTTCTTCAACAGTGCTAATCTAAGAAGAAGACAGGCCAACCCAAAAGTTCAGCACCAATCCTTCCTTGGAAAAGAACCACAATTTAAGTAAGTTAGTCATAAGTAAGAAATGACCACAGCTGCCTAATTTGAATCTTTCTGAATGGCATTTATTTGGAAGAAAGTATGTCTGGAAAACTAATATAATTATGTAGAGTATTATATTTTCTAAGATGGTCCCAAAGGTTTGAAAGTTTGATGGAAAAGCTAAGTCTGAAGCCTGACTTCCCAGATAAAAGATGGAACATCATTTTACCAGAGGAATATCTCTGTTTTTGCCTTGCCTTTGGGCTGAGGGCACAAAGAAAAAGAAAAATGTCCCCAGAGAAAAATGTCTTCTAGTGACCCCTCTGGTCACATGAGGAATTAACATGTAATGCCAAAGGTGGATGGTACTTATCTGCAGAAAATACAGCAGAAATGAGTTTAACAATTTAAAGCAACAGAATATAGACAATCTCTGGATATCATGCATTTATAATTACAGGTAAAAGCTGATGTTTAAGGATGTTTCTGTTCTTGAATTCTAAGTCATGCTATTTTCTTCCAAATGAACTTGGTCTTTCCAATCCATCTTCTTAATACAGAAACTTCTCTAGAAACCCATTTTTAAAATGATCATTCCAATTTTCCTCTGGAGATAGCTATATACAAAAAAAGAATCTAATTAACTCAGGTCTTTATCTAACCTACTTTAGGTCAACTATGGTGTGACTTGATAAAAAGCTGCTTGGATGTGAAAATTTGTGAAAGGTTATTCTCATGAACACAGGCTGTTTCAGTCTTGGACATTTAAGTTGGACAAACACAGGAAAGATAAAAGGCACAAAAGTGGTGATCATTAAAGTCATTTGAGCTGGTGCTCAAACAATTTAAAGATTAGGGGGAAAAAATTGACTGGACCCTTTCCCTTGCAGCTGGGTCTGCTGGGCTGGGTCTTTTAAACACTCGTTAATACATGTTCATGAAGAGTGTACTTTTAAGCAACGTATAAGCCCTGTTTTGGCTGTTAAGTCCTGTCAAGTCCCTTCCTTACTGGTCACAATGGAGACTGAACTAGATGGTCTCTAAGGGCCCTTAGACCAAGTGTCCTGACTCCATTAAATAATGGAATTGGAGATGGGATGAAACATACCACACTCCTCATGGAGATACAGAGAAGGCAATGGCACCCCACTCCAGTACTCTCGCCTGGAAAATCCCATGGACAGAGGAGCCTGGTAGGCTGCAGTCCACGGGGTCCTAGGAGTCGGACACAACTGAGCGACTTTACTTTCACTTTTCCTTTCATGGAATTGGGTCGTTTGTAGTGAGGATAAGCCTAGAGTCTGTCACACAGAGTGAAGTAAATTAGAATGAGAAAACTAATATTAACACATACATGTGGAATCTGAAAAAACTGGTATAGATGATCTTATTTACAGAGCAGAAAGAGAGACAGATGTAGAGAACCAATGTATGGATACCAAGGGGGAACGCGGGGTGGGGTGAACTGGGAGATTGGTGTTGACATGTATACACCATTGATATTATGTAAAAAATGGATAACTAGTAAGAACTGTAGAGCACAAGGAGCTCTACTAAATGCTCTGTGGTGACCTAAATGGAAAGGAAATCCAATAAAAAGGGGATACGCGTATATGTAGAGCTGATTCACTCTGTTGTATAGCAGAAAGGAACACAACATTGTAAAGCAACTACATTGTTTTACGCTAAGTCATGTCTGACTCTCTGTGGCCCCATGGGCTGCAGCATGCCAGGCTTTCCCTGTCCTTCACTATCTCCCAGAGTTTGCTTAAATTCATGTCCATTGAGTCGGTGATGTCATCCAACCATCTCTTGCCCCCATCTCCTCCTGCCCTCAATCTTTCCCGGCATGAGGGTCTTTTCCAATGCAACTATACCCCAATAAAATTTTTTTTTAAAAATTGAAGGAGAGGTATATCACACTGTACAATAAAAGTTTAGTTAAGCAAATAAGAAAACAAGTTAAAAAAAAAAAGAAAACAAGTTTTACATCAACCCATGTACATCTACAAATTCATGTATAACCATATTGTATACTTGTCTATTGGTTCAGTCAAATAAGGAAGGTAAGCCAGGAATACTTTCCAAAGCGGGCAAGAGCTTCAAACTCTGGACCTTCCCCCTCATCCAACCTCTTCCTCTTCCTCTTCCTTCCCTTCCTTTCTCTCTATGTGACTGCAGACAAGACCCAAATGTCTACTCTACGAAACTATCATTTATCTGTGATATTGTGATTTATAATATACACTTGGTCATTGTTCTCTTTGTAGGTACAGAGCTCCCACAACTTTTGTAATTTCCTAAATTATGAGAGTGATAAATGTGTCAACTTATATGAATGAGATGACCTTTAGAAGCATGTATGTGGGGATGTGTTGCTGGGAGAACCAAACATATGATTTACACTTGGAACTTTTAGTCCCACCCCCTGACCTCCAGGAAGGAGAAAAGGGCTGGAGAGTAATTAAGTCCCTGGCCATTGGTGACTCAACTCAATCATGTCTATGTAATAAAGCCTCCACAAAAAGGCCAAAAGGACAAGGTTCCAAGAGTTCTTGGTTTGGTGGACACGTGGAGGTTTGGGGAGGGTAGCACACCCAGGGAGAGCATGAAACTCCACACCCTTTCCTCACAGCTTGCACTGTCCATCTCTGCTTGCTGGCTGTTCCTTATACTGTTTTTTAAAAAGTTATTTATTTTTGGCTGTGCTGGGTCTCTGTTGCTGCTTGGGGGCTTTCTCTGGTTGCAGTGAGCGGGGTCTACTCTCTGCTTGCATGGGCTTCTCACTGCGGTGGTTCCTCTCGTTGCAGAGCACAGGCTCTAGGCATGCAGGCTCCAAGAGCTGCAGCACCTGGGCTCAGCAGTCACGGCTCTCAGGCTCGAGAGCTCAGGTTCAGTCGTGGTGGTGCACGGGCTTAGCTGCTTCATAGCATGTGGGATCTTCCTGGATCAGGGATCGTGTCCCCTGCACTGGCAGGCGGATTCTTATCCATGGTACCACCAGGGAAGTCCTACATTCTTCTACAAAAACTTGAGGTCTACGAAATTAGAGTATTTCTCTGAGTTCTGTGAGCCACTCTAGTAAGTGATTGAATCCAAGGAGAAGGATGTTGGAACCTCCAGTCTATATCTGGGTAATGGGCTGGGAGCACAGATAAGGGCCTGGACTTACAACAGGTGTCTGAAGAAGGGGGGAGGGACTGTCTTGCAGGACCCGAGCCCTTACCCTCTGGTCTGAGCCTATCTCCAGGTAGACAGTGTCAAAATTGGGTGGAATTGTAGGACACTCAGCTGGTATCAGACAACTACTCAGTGGTGGGGGGGAAATCCACTTGGAAATCAGAGTCAGAATCTTGTATCTAAGTCAGGCCCTGTGCTGTGCTGGGCTGAGTCCCTCAGTCATGCCCGACTCTTTGTGCCTTATGTGCTCTCATTTGGCCCCAGATTCTATCATCTGTGATGCTTGGCAGTGCTCTGCCTTCTACAAGGGCTAGTTCATGTACTTGAAAAGAGATTCTAAATTCCCTTAAGGGTTTCCACCTGAAGGTCAGACTATATACGGACAAAGAATGATCTTTCCTCCAATTATTCTGAAATGAGTCAGTTTTCTTCTAATAGGAAAAATAATTGAGTAAAATCAAATCACGATAAGAAATCAAGAGCATGTGCATATTGCAATAGAGCCTTCAAAGTGTCTATAAAGAAGACTTCCCAAAAGTAAGCATGCCAGCACTTTCACACCCACACAAAGATGTATTTCTAATTCATCATCTTGTGAACACAGACATTCGCTTCATTGATATTCACCTTACAGTTCAGAACCAGCTCTCTTACCTCACCCTTGACCCACCAGTAGTTATTCATCTTGGCTACCTTACCTTTCAAATCAGATTAGAGTCCAAGTGATTTCAGAGAATTTAAAAAAAAATGCAGCCTCAGAAGTTGGGTTTATGATGTACTCTGGGTCTTTAAAGACATTCTCAAAAATAAGATCCCAAATATCTGAAGCAATGGCAACATCATCTAAAGAATCATACCCTTTCCTCACACCTTGCACTGTGCACCTCTCCTAGCTGGCTCTTCCTTGGTTACAGTCTTTTCTAACTAATTAATTTCTTTTCAGTTGTGCGGTCTTTGTTGCTGTGTGAGGGCTTTCTCTAGTTGCGGTGAGCGGGGGCTACTCTCTGGTTGCAATGCACAGACTTCTCATTGTGGTGGCTTCTCTTGCTGGTTACCTTGGTGGCCGCCTTGGGAATGGAGAACTGATTCAGAAAAATGCAAAGCATGGATCTTTCATCACTCTATGGTCCACAACGTGTTCCGCTAACACGCCCCATGACCTCTAAGAGACCACACACCGTTATCCTGAGTGAGGCAAGGACGCTCACACAGGCCAAGGATGTCCCTCACTCAGGTCACCCTGCATGTCATGGGGGCAGGGAGCTATGGTTCCTATCCTGCCTGCCATCCTAGGGCATGGCTTGTTTCAGTACTTGTGTGTGAGCTCACCAGGCATGTTTCCACTTTCATGTGTTAGAAACTGCATTGTGTATATATATATTTTTAATATATATATACATATTTATATATTTTCCCTGCTGGGATGGCCTTCAAAGAATTCCTCCCTTCCAAGAACTTGAAAACTTGCTTCTGGATGTGTGGCAGGGTCATCCTCAGGATGACCTTTGGAAGTCTCACTTCCAAAGACTACAGTGTGACCAAAATAATATGGAAGGAACTGAGCCTCGCTTGAGCCCTGGTGCTGAAGCCAGCCCGAGCCTGTAGGGTGCGGGTAATGGAAAACCTGAAATTAACACACACTGAAACACACATGTATTATTCCTGTCCCTCTAGATTTCCTACTTGGTGTTGAAAAAGCTCAGGAAGGTGGGGGACCTTTCCAAACGCCTTCTCTCCTGCAGTTTCACAACCCTCCTGACTCCCTGAAGACCC